TCTCTCTCTCTCTCTCTTTGTGTTTCTTGTTTATCTGTTTTCATTTTCTTTCTTTTAATTTTGGTTGTGATTGGTTCGGATGGTGGGTTTTAAGTGGGTTTGGGAGGTGCATTTTTGTGATTGGAGTTGTGGGGTTTTCTTTTTTTACTGTGTTGTTCATGTGTTTTGCTTTATGAATTTCTGTTGTGGTTGTAGTGATTTGTTTTTTGACGGTGGGTCTGTGTTTTTCTTTACCTTAATTTATTTGCTTTTGGAGACAACCTTGTTGTGTTGCTTCTGGGGTTGTTTGTGTTGCTGTTGCTAGGTACATTTTGGTTTTGATTATTAGAATAAGTGATTGAAGATGATGGCAGTTGATTGGGCTGTTTCTTTTTTTCTGGTGTGTGTGGTTTTGATTTGCTCTGGAGATTGTTTGATGTTTTTTGGGATATGGATAAAGAATGTAGGATGTGGTCTTGTTTGATTAAATTGGTGGGTCATCTTTTTTACCCTATTTTTCGGTTGATTTTTTCTTTTCATTTTTGCTCCTTTTTCTTTTCTGCTTTTTCTGTTATTCATTGGATATGATTTCTAATATGTAATCTGATTGTTCTATTTTAACCTTTTTTTGGTGGTAATTGCTTCAGTTTTCCATGTTGTCAATCTTCCCTTTGTCTATGGTATTAATAATGATGTGTACAAACATTGTTTGAGGACTGAGATGAATTATGGAATGGGATTTTTACTTTGGCTCTTGAATTGGGGGTTTCTTTTGTGTTTTCTATCTCTTTTTATGTCCTGTGTTGGTTAATCTTTGCCAATGTTGTTTAGTAACAATGACACTTGTCTTCTCTTGTTCTTAGTGGAGCTAGAGAGCCATGGGATTGGCAAGGGGAGAATTATAGTCTTAATAAGACTTCTGACTTTGGTAAGTTCTCCTGTAACTTTAGTAACTTCTACTGAGTCAATGCATGAGGGAAATGTGTTGTTTTGAGCAGAAATTTCAGAAGATCTGTGGAATGATGTGCCTCAAAATAAAGAAGATCTTTCCTACATGTTGGATGATGAAACAACCCCAGTTAAGGCTTGTGGTGATTTGGCATATAATGTCAATAATTGTGGTAAGATGATTCTCTGGCATGAACATTGTCTTGACATTGGATGATGCCAATTGATCAATTATATTTTCTTTATGGTTGTTGTTATTAGTTTTCTATTTCTAATCCAAACAATGGTTGATTTTTAGATTCAGATAATATGCAAAAGGAAGATGAGGAATGCAGAGAGACTTATTCTCAAGCCAAGAGGCGCCGGATGCTACAGTTTAACAGCCAAGATAGTGATCAGTCACTTTCCAATGAAGAGATGCCTTTGTCATATCTTCAAAATGTCAGTGCTCACAGCAGTCTTTTGGGATTAACTTTTCACATTCATAGTTTTGTTGGATGGTTCTAACACTATATAAAGGACTTGTGAAATACAGATTTTCTTATTGTTCAAAATCTTGCAAATATTTGAGCTTTTCCTCAAGTAAATTACATGCTGATATTAACATTTCATTCATGATTGATAAAAGAATAAATAATATCTTCAATGCCTTGACTTAAAGTCACTTATCCTCGTTCTTTCTATTCGATCAACATTTTCTGATGCTAGACTTCGTAACCATCCTTGATGAAATTTCAAAATTACTTAACACTTTGTCTTGTTACCACCTTCCTTGGATTCAGCTGTGAGTTGGGGCTTTTTCGCATTTCCAGTGAATGTATATTGTAATATCACGATGGCTTGATGTAGAATACTGTAAACTTAAACATTTAGGATGAGTGTTAATCCTATGTGATACCAGAATTTATTAAAGATGTGTGTTCTTGAATCTTTTTATATTGTTTCAAGTGATCATTATTTAGGGTAGATTTCTGTTTTGCTCTGGTCCTCTTTGTGATTAGTTGTAACTGTCCCTAAATATTGGGAAGACTCTATCCTGATTCTTGATTCTTTTCTTGTGGTTTTTCCTTAATTTATGCCTGTTACTTCATTACATATGCAGGGGAAAGAACCAGCTAAGGATATTTTTCCAGAAGTGTCACAATGGATGTCGGGCACATCAGGTTTACCTCTGGCAGGATTTTTCTTTATATTTTACTAGGTGATATCCTCTATAATTTACTTCTATATCATTGCTCATGTTCCCCCATTCGTTATAGATTACACAGTAGGAAATGCATCTGCATCTGATTATGTGAACCTGGAATCAACCGAAACGTGGCTGGCAGAGTACTTCAATGATGCTGAGATGGATTTCAGTCCTGATGAATTGTATGCTTCTTTGGACCAATGGTTTGTTTCGGATATTTGCTATGCAAAATATAATCTGACGATTATATGTTTTGACTCAGGAATTTTTCTGGGGCAGATGATGTTCAAATTGATGTTGCAGGTAGGTGACATTGTTTCTACCCACTATTGTTTGCTAATTTTGTTTCTTCCTTCATTCTTTTACTCTTTCCTCTATGGGTTGTATTCAAAATATTTGTTTACACCTGCAGAGCTTAGTACGACCATCACACCATCACGTCAAGAAAATGCAGTTCAAATGCATCATGTTCCTCGAACCACCCGTAATATTATCATCAAAGGTTTGACATTTTTCAAGGCATAAACATTCTTCAGAGTTAAATGTACAAGTATCTGCTTGGTTTCTCTTGTATGCTATATGATGTATATGCCAATGTGTTATAGTTGTGCACCAGAATATGGTAAAGCAACATTACCTTGTACCTGCTTCAGACATCCTTGAAGACATTCTTAGACATGAACACTAATTCAGATTTCTTTTTCATGTGTAGGTAGGAAATCTTTTATACATACTCCTACCAAACTTGCCTCTTCTGTGGCATATCCATTTGCCTTCATTAAACCAAGTGGTGCCCATGGAGATGTAACTCTGAAGGAAATAAACCAGCGCATTCGGACGCCGGCACAGTCGAAATCGAAGCAAAGTGGTGATGATCCATCTGCTTACCCCAAGTCAGCCTTCTCAGGGAAGCCTGTGGTTGATAAAACAAAAATTCGCACTGAAGGGGGAAAAGGTAGCATCACCATTATGAGAACTAAAGGTTAGGCATAAGTTGTTCACTACTAACATTTCTCACCCATTAATATGGGATTGACTTCATTTTCTGTAATATATCTGGCAGATATAGAAGTTGATACTGCAACTATTTTCTTTCTTGTTGACATGCATATATTACACCACCTTAGTGTTTTCTTTCCAGTGGGATCTAGATATAATCTTATAGCTGTTCTTTTTGTGGGGGGTTTTTGATTTTGTTTTGAGCTAAGTCTGTGATGAGAATCTTAGATCATTAGTCCCCACCATTCATAGTCTGTAATGACAATTTCACTAAGCTTGCCTTAGCTTTTGTAATTGAATATACAGATTATTTTTGTTTGGTATCCTTGTTGTTTATATGTTGTGCAAGTGAAAGAGTTTTTATTACTCTTTTACCTTTCTACATGTTGTAGCAGGAAATTTAGTTTTACTAACAGAACCAATTAGGTATTGAACTTTCATGTTTGCATCACTTAACAATTATACCAAATTAACTGATGCAGCCATGGATACAAAAGGTAGATTTTTATAATGTAGATTATGTTTAAAAATTTTCATACAAAAAATTTAGCTGATATTTCATCAACCTGCACTATTTTGACAGATAATTCGTTATTTCAAAAATAAATAAATTACTATTGTTGTAAGTACATTATTTTGACTGTTTTTTAAAATTTAATCAAAAATAAACTCTGCAACAACAGCATAATGGCCACATTTTTTTAAGGTACCTTTTTGCTAGAAAATGGGAACCATGTGATGCATGGAATGAAATAGATGATATTTAGTATCATATTGTGAGAAGATATACTGAAAAGATGAATGTATAATTGAAAATAATTGAAATCATTTTTAATAATAATATGCTATTAAGTTAAAGATATAATAAATTAATGTATTTTAATTTAGAGTCAGTGAATTAAATTACATTATATATTTATTCTTCCTCGTCCATTATCTTTTTAAAAATAAAGTAAATGACATGTAGTTATTCATGTGACTAAAGAAAAGTATAATTAAAAAGGTTTTCAATAAGATTTTTTAAAATTTCTATTGTATATTTATTAAGATGGCAATGTGGTTTTATTATCTTATATCACCGCCAAAGCAAAAATTTATCAAATACTCCTACTAACCGATATAACATTTTTATCTTATTCTAATTTCCACATTTTTATCTTATTCTTATTTTCATGAGATATTGGATCATGTTTATATATGTTTTCTTATTATTTAAATATCAATTAATTAATTTTTATAAAAAAAAATATAACAAAAGAAATATAATATTATCAAATATTTAATATCAAATAGATTTATTTTTTTATTTTTTTAATATCAAATATTTTAAAAAGAATTACAATTATTTATATTTCAAAATTCAAATTAAAGTACAAAATGAAATGTTACGAGAATTAAATTATTTATTAAGATGGAAAAAGTTAATAAAACAAAATTAAAAAATATTTTTAAAAAACTACGAAAAAAATTATTAAAGTTTACAAATATTTTAAATATCTTTTTAATTTCTTTCTATAAATTAATTAATAAAAAATATAATTATAATATCTTACTTGAAGGAAATAGTACAGAAGATAAAGACTAAACTAATAATAATAAAAACATGAATTTTTCATATACAAGTTATTATATTATAGTAAATAAAATGTTTATATAACGATAAAATTACCTTATGATAATAATGAATTAGAAAATAAAAATAATTATATAATAATTCATTAAAATAATTAGAAAATAAAAATAATTATATAATAATTCATTAAAATAATACTATACATGTTTTAATAACTAATAAAAATATTAAAAAGAAGTGAAAATAATTAAATGTGTCTTAAAAATAACTTGATATACTATTTAAAGAAATTATATAGAAAAAATGTATAATTAATTAAAACAATATTCTACATGATAAAAATAAATAATAAATACAAATATTAAAAAAATGTATCTTAATAACAATTTAATATATCATTTAATTAAATTGCATAAAAAAATTCAAAATTATTCAAATATAAGAAAAGTATCATTACGATATAAAAAAAAATCAATATTAAACTAGTTTAACTTTTAAGAGATAATAAAAATTGTTGACTCAAATATTTTATGTGAAATGTTCTGTTTTAAACTTATTGATAATAAATAACATAGTTAGGCAAAGGTTAAAGTGAGTAGATTTCATAAAATTAAAATAAGATACATCTAGGATGAAAGAAAAAAATATTAGATATATATTTTTATATATTATATTACTTAATAAATTATGAATACTTTAATAATTTAAATCAAGATAAATATTAAGACGAGTATGAAAATATAAATGAGACAAATATACATATAATTAAAAAAATGCATATTATCGATATTCATATCCTTACTCAGTTAATACGAAAATTTCATGTTAAAAAATAAAAATGATTTGAAACAATATTCACATAACAGTATTTGTCATTCTTAATATTTATATATAAAATATTATAAATTATAATATTTAATTTTTTAATTTTATGTTTTTATCATTAATGTTATTCTTTCCAATTTTTCTTAACGGTCGTAAATTTTACAAAATATTATATCTGTCATAAATCGTAATTATGTTTTATCCATTATACTTGTTGTATTGACTTTAAATTTTAATTATTTAATTTATTAATTGAAAAATCTCTCATTAAAGTCATATGGATTTGTTTCAATTCGGAAGTAAATATTTATGACATTTAACAGTGATGTAGAGGAAAGTTAAAGGGCTAACTACTGAGGCTAGTAGAGAAAAATCAAGAAAATGTTATTATAATTGTGCTTGAGAAAAAGTGTGACAGATCATAAATAGAATAAGGGAGTTTAATTTTAAAATATGAAAATAATTTAATTTAGGATTAAATGTACTAAATTAAAATATATTTATGTTCCAAATTGATATATTTTGATTCTCAAAATTAAAAATTGAATAAATATAATTTTATTAATTCAATAACACTAATTTTTCTTTATATTAAATGATATTTGAGATTGATATTTAAGTTATTTATATAATTTGATAAAGAAAAAAATAATATAATTGGATTAAAAATATAATATTCATTCATAAGATCAAAATGTATTAAAATTTAAAACCTAACAAATTATAATTTTACTTCAAATTTAAAAACTAAATATATATTAACCATTTAATTTAAAATATTCTCTTTTCATTACCAAATTATAATAAAACTAATTATAATCAACTTTTCAATGTTACTTTCGAAATTGTAATTATAAGTATTTTATTGTTGTTTAAACCTTCTGTATTTACTAATATATTTATTTATTCAATATAACCTTACAAAAGCAACCTTAAATATATATTATTCTTTTTTATGGATGCTTTAAAAATATAGTGTATTAAATTTAATACACTATATTTTTTAAGATGACCTAAACACCTTTACATTTTCGAATTCTATGACATATTTTAATATCTTTCTTTCATATTTTTATTTATTTATATATTTTTATTGCATTAAGCCTAAATAATATTTTTTTTTTCTTTTATGTTTCATATTTTTCAGTTACTATAATATTTTTTTATTAAATCTTATTTTTACTAACTTTTTAAATCTAGATAATTAGAAATGATGTATTTTTATAATATGCAACTTTTATATATTTTTTCTGAAAATAAAAATTAGCCATTGGTAAAACTCTAGAGATAATGCCGGAATCAAGATAAATTTATCATTGAAAATGAAAACTATTAATGTTAACTATTAATCTTAATTATTAACTATTAATTTTTAATGTTACATTTTTATTTTAAAATTATTAATGTTTTATTACTTTTATTAAGTTAAATATATTTTTAGTTTCTAAACTTTTAAAATGAAATTGTAATTCATTTTTATTTGAAACTTTCATATAATTTGATTTTAAATTTCAAAAATTAATAAATATAATTCTTCTAATTTAATTGCGTTAAATATTTTTGAAGTATCGATTGACATTTAAATTGTTTATGTTCTTACTCAATTGCGTTAAGTTCTTACTGAATTGCGTTAAAATTTTTTACCTATCAAATAACGTTTTGAAACATTCAAATGTCATTTTCAAAGGTCGTTTAATTATAAAAAAACTTAACAAATTTAAATTAAAAAACTATATTTACTTGTTTTTAAAAGTTGAAGGGTCAAAATATATTAAAGTTTTGAAGAAGAATTTTGTCATACCCTTAAAAACCCACTAAAAAACCCTAAGTAGTGGGATCCATGTGCGAAGGAGTGAGTGAGCGTTTCAGTTAGTGAAAAACAGGTGACTGCAGGAGAGTGGTCGTTCGGTTTTGAGTGACGACAGTACTTAATGCGAAATTTAAAATGTCGTGTCATTCTCTGCATGCTCTCCTTCTTCTCCAAATTTTTGAAAAACGTTCTTCTCCTTCTCTCTAAAATCTCCACCTTCTCTCTAAGAAAAACCTCACCTTTTCTTCTTCCGATCACCTCTCAGACACCATTTGAACACTCCCGGTGTCAAGAGCTTTCGTTTAAACCGATCGATTTGTGATTCTGAGCCGGTGAGTTTCTTTCTCTTTAGCACGTTCGTTTAGTCTCGCATGCAACCCTCTATTTCTGGTCGCTTGAATGAATCGTATAATTCTGAGTGTTTCTGGTTTTCTATTTGGTTCAGTACTCCTAAAACGTGACTGTCGAACGTTAAGTCTTTGGTAGTGGGGAGCTCTATTCTGCCTCGTTGAGCGTTCGGTTACGTATAGAGGTAAGGAAAGCTTATATAATTTGATTAAATTCTTGTTTTGAACGTTGGTATGGTTGCATGATACGTTGTTTGATTATTGCATGAGTATGAAATATGCGTGTACTGCTTGTTTGGAAGTGTGGATGGATGACTGATACATGTTGTGAATTGAGTTGAGATAGGGCTTGATCTTCAAACTATAGTATTATGAGTAAAGGTGATAGTATGGTCGAGCGTCATTAGTGAGCGTTCGGTTCTTCTTGTGAGTGCATGGTCTTACTTGAATTCTCATGCGTTAGGGATAGTGTTTAAGAGTCTTTTTGTAATACTATATAGGATTAGGTAAACGGGGCGAGAGTTGCGATTACCGTTCAGTTCCTGGGAAGTGTCCGTCTATATTAAGTTCTTCTACTACAAGGAATTCGGTAATGAAGAGCGTGTTATTTGTTTGATAATATAGGATATGTCTAAATAAGTTGTGGCGCAAGTGGATATATCTATATATATATTCTATATATAATAATATATCATTCATCCTCGTTATGTAAGTTTATGAGTGCTCGGTCTTGGACAGCGGTTGATCTCAGATAGTGCT